GAAATGGACTTTGACATCGAGATAGATAGTTGTTAATAAAGTGTTGTTGTTGTGTATCTTTTTCTCCTTCCTTTACATGTTTGTATGTGATTTTGTTTTCATCGTGTGTTCTGTGTCCGTTAAACTTTGTTCCTTCCTTCCTTCCTGTCGTTTCTCGCTCTCTCTCTCTCTGTTGATATGGCACAAGAACTCCTTCTCATTGACTGACTGACTGACTGGTCAAAGAATATATATGACAGACTCTGTGTTTTACTCATCCCCACAACGAGTTATTTACTTAGTTAGTTAGTTATTTAGTTAGTGCGCTCAATTTTGTAGTGAGTGACAATGACACGTAACTCAATCCTCCTCCTCCTCCTCCTCCCTCCTCCTCCTCAATACACAACCAACCACCCTCGTGTGTTTGTTTACCCGGCAGATATCAAAGTTTGCCGTTAGATGTCGTGCATAAAAGAAAACTACACACTCTTCTTCTTCTTCTTCTTGTTACATGGCAAACTTTACCAAATCTAGTTTGAGCATAGTTTAGTTCCCAACATTGCACTAATGAAATGACCAAGTAAGTAGCCTTTTGGTAATAACAACCCTCTTTGAATATTCACACACTCTCTTCTTGTTCTTCTTCCTCCTCCTCCTCCTCCTCCTGTGTCTGTCTGTTACTTTTGTATGGGGAGCAGAAAAACACACAAACAACAAATCTCACACACACACACAGACAATCAATCATATAGACACATAGACAGACATACACGCATACACAACACAAACATACACAAACAGACATAGACACACACGCACACGCACGCACACACACACACACACACATAGACATAGACATAGACATAGAGACACACACATGCGCATCACAAACAGACAGACAGACAGACAGACATACATACATACATACATACATACATACATACACACACAGACACATACACATACACATAGAGAGAGACAGACAGACACATAGACACACACACATAGAGACACACATACACAGACATGCGCAACACAAACAAACATACATACACACACACACACACAGACACACAGACACAAACATACATAATTATGCAATAACTCCAAGCTATACAAATTAGTTTGTTAGTCAGTCAGTCAGTCAGTCAGTCAACACATGTGTGCACAACCTACACACAATAGCAAACGCAACAAACCTACCCTACCTATTTTCCCACAGTCAGTCACACACCCACACAATAATTAAATACATCACTACTCTACTCTATGATTATTATAGCCTTGTTCAAGGTGCCTTTGTCATTGCATACACCTACATCTATAACATTGGCATCCAAAATCAAATAAACTCAACGATTCAAGTGCATCACAAATATACCTAGTTAGTGAGTTAGTTAGTTACTTAAATACCCAATCACTCACTCACTCACAATAACTACTCATCAACGATGGTAACAACATTAAAACCTACACCACTCAACCTACATGTATATATTGATAGATTCCACAAGTATTTGTTAAAAACAAGCAAAGATACATTGATAATCAATATAATTATCAACTGTTTAACGACACAGTTATCTACAACTACTCTCTTACTTATTTGCACTTATTTACTGACATGTCCCGCAATGCTACACACACAAACAAACAAATGATAACATGTACTAATAGCCCATGATAACAACATCAAATACAAACAAAACAATACTGCCACAAACAAACAAACAAACATTCTAACGTTACCTTCATTACTACAAATGTAGACTAGCACAAATCAACAAAACAAAGCTAAACAAATTAAATTAACACACAAACAAACTAAACTAGTAATAAATAGTCAACAATTTTTCTCTCAAAAATTGTATTAGGACCTAAGATAGGTCCAAGGTTTTGTTTGGGGTCGCTTTACTGGTTGGCTTTGGTGGTTGTGGTAGTTTTCCTTCTTGTACTTGTTGTTGTTGTGGAAAACGCTTAACCTCCGAAACCGTACAGGGTACGTCCCTGGCGCTTGAGAGCGTAGACAACGTCCATGGCAGTGACAGTCTTCCTCTTAGCATGCTCGGTGTAGGTGACGGCGTCACGGATCACGTTCTCGAGGAACACCTTGAGCACACCACGGGTTTCTTCATAGATGAGACCAGAGATACGCTTGACACCACCACGACGGGCAAGACGACGGATTGCAGGCTTGGTGATACCCTGGATGTTATCACGCAACACCTTGCGATGACGCTTGGCGCCTCCCTTTCCGAGCCCCTTGCCACCCTTTCCACGTCCAGTCATGGTTTCAGCTTTGAATCACTTAACCAAGAGATGCCTGCCTCAACGCCCCATCGCTAATGCAACACTCACTCGCCTACGTTAGTGTAGCGCTCGCCCGGCCGCGTCAACCCAGCGCTCATCCTAACCGTCCGCTCTTCAAATAAAAGCTCTCTTAATCCTTGATACCGCTTAAAATTTACCTCTCGGATTAAACTAGTAGATTAGCACTCAAACATTGCACAAACTAATGGAATCATCACCAAACAAGGCCTAGGCACTTTCACCCAATCACACCTGACAGCCGTCAATCCTCAAGCTCTGTTTACACAGCATCAATGGGCGGCGCCAAGCCTCACACTGATAGCCACACGCCGCGCGACTTGGCCCAGGCCGCTCTGGTATAAATTCAGCTCTTGAAACCAGCGCCCCCGTTTCCTATCTGTCTAGATACAAACAATCAATCAATCCCCAAAATGGCACGTACCAAGCAGACTGCCCGCAAGTCTACTGGAGGCAAGGCCCCCCGCAAGCAGTTGGCCACCAAGGCAGCTCGCAAGTCTGCCCCTGCTACAGGAGGTGTCAAGAAGCCCCATCGTTACAGGCCCGGAACTGTCGCCCTTCGTGAGATCCGTCGTTACCAGAAGAGCACTGAGCTCCTGATCCGCAAGCTGCCCTTCCAGCGCCTGGTCCGTGAGATTGCCCAGGACTTCAAGACTGATCTCCGCTTCCAGTCCTCTGCTGTCATGGCTCTGCAGGAGGCTTCCGAGGCTTACCTGGTTGGCCTGTTCGAGGACACCAACCTGTGTGCCATCCATGCCAAGAGAGTTACCATCATGCCCAAGGATATCCAGCTTGCTCGTCGTATTCGCGGAGAGCGTGCCTAAGTTTTTGGTTGCTAGTTTGCTTGTCTCGTTGCATACCAAAATCGACCTCGGCCCTTTTCAGGGCCTAAAAATGTCCCCAGAGAGATTGAAATACGACTTTTCTTGTAGTGTTTAGCATTTATCTTTTATAATAATCACTGTGACAATTACAATACATCCTTTGTGTGTGTGTATATATAATTGTGTATGTCTGTATGTATGTATGTATGTATGTATGTGTATGATTGTGAATGTATATAGCGTATGACTGTGTGTTGATATATATGTATGTGTGTGTATATGTATATGTGTGTGTGTGTATATGTATATGTGTGTGTGTGTGTATATGTATATGTGTGTGTGTGTGTATATGTATATGTGTGTGTGTGTGTATATGTATATGTGTGTGTGTGTGTATATGTATATGTGTGTGTGTGTGTATATGTATATGTGTGTGTGTGTGTATATGTATATGTGTGTGTGTGTGTATATGTATATGTGTGTGTGTGTGTATATGTATATGTGTGTGTGTGTGTATATGTATATGTGTGTGTGTGTGTATATGTATATGTGTGTGTGTGTGTATATGTATATGTGTGTGTGTGTGTATATGTATATGTGTGTGTGTGTGTATATGTATATGTGTGTGTGTGTGTGTGTGTATATGTATGTGTATATGTATGTGTGTGTGTGTGTGTATTAAATATATTATATATACAATATACATTATAGATATATATAAATATATATATATACATATACATATATATATATATACATATATATATATATATATATATATATATATATATATATATATATATTTATATGTATATAATATCTATAGAATATATAGATGTAATATAGAATATATATATACATATATATAATATATATCATGTGTATATATATATATTATAAATATATGTATATATATATAATTATATATTACGTATATATATATATAAAATATATTAAATATATAATTTATGTGTGTTTACAATATATATATTATATATATATTGTCAATATATACTGTATATACATTAACACAATATATTGTGTATATATATATATATATATATATATATATATATATATATAAATATATATATATATATATATATATATTTGTAATAAAAAATATATAAATATATTAAAATATATATTACTATATATATATATATATATATATATATATATATATATATATATATATATATATATATATATATATATGTATATGTATATATATATATTTATATATATCTATATATATATATTAGACAATGTATATATAAATATATAGAATATAGTATTTTAATTTTTAAATATATATATTGTTAATAATATATGTTGTGTATATATATATACAATATAATTGGTAAATATATAAAAATATATATATATACTATTGATATTGTATATATTTATATATATTATTTACACTATATATATTTTTGCATATTTTGTGTGATTGTATACATATAATAAATAAATAAATATATATATATATATATATATATATATATATATATATGAAACAATATATATAGTTTATACTTTCACCGCCCCCCACCCTCCCTCCTCCTTCCTCTCTCTATATGTGTTTACAAGAATTGTGTGTGTTCACTTTACTTTACTTTACTTTCCATACAGTTTTCGATACAGACAGACACAGACATACATACATACATACATACATATATACACACAAACAATCAATTACTGCTAATAGACTGAAACATTAACATTGTTTGTTTGTTTAGACTAAACGATAAATGAATGGATGACAAACAAACATATCAAACCCTAACCCAATCTCAAGTAATCCCTGATCTTGATGATGATGATGATGATATGCATGTATACAGGTATCCCAAATAGTAG